GAACAGATGCACTTATTCGTGTTCTACGAGTTTAAATACCTCAAGAGACATCTCTCAAGCCAAATGCACAGTGATGGCCAAATTTCCACGAAAATCCGGCTCAGTTTTCAAGAGTGCGGCAGCAACGGGTCAAATGTGTCGAATTTTGTTCTCAGTACTCAGTGTGAATACAAATATTTTTTTGCAGTTATGTGTATTGTATAAGCCAAAAAACGTGTTGAAAGCTCGACTAGATCAAGAAGAAAACTCAGCGCACCACGACGATGGCGAGAACGAGAAAACACAGTAAGGAAATCATCAACATGCTTAGCGTCGCTATGTCGATGTGCCACGGCTTCTCGTCTGAAAATTTAATTATTGTAAATACTAGCTTTCAATCATCGAAGAGAATGGAAGTCTGAGGGACAGCACATGGAAACGTACCAGTCGTGGGAAGATAAGGCGACGATGGCGGAACAAGCAATCCAAGACCCATAATTACGCTAACGACCCAACTGAAAAATGAAGACATCACGAAAAATACACGTTTTTTCCTGATCTATGGATAATGATCATGTGAACACGAAAGGTCGGAAACTTCAAGCAGTTCGCTCTTAAAGCATAGAGAGCCCCTCCACATCCTGAGCTGAACGAATCAAACCCGATGCTTCCATGAGACTTAAGAGCGCATTCAGATATATTGAACAACTTTATACTAGCTTTCACAAGCGCGTCATGAGAAGGGTACTGCTGATCAGGGCGCAAGGTCCTACCTCAAGGCTTCATTGAGCTCGACGATGGTGGAAGATGACCTCGCATTCTGAAGACGGTGAAAACTGTAAACAAGGGCTTACTTTTGCTTGTGAAGGGACCTTTCAGGAATATTTTGCCGTGAAGTTTTCTTCGAGGAGCCGCAGAAGATCATGCGTTTTTTTTGGATCTCGCACCAGAAACTTATTTGGCTATTTCTGAGCATGTTTACATAGGCTGTGATGAGGGATCTAAATTTGTAAATTACAACTAAATCGCGCTCACCCTAGTAGCTTCCTGCGAGTTCGATGTGAAAAAAGCAAGAGCCATATTCGCCAAGCATGTCTGTATGATCTTCTACTAAAGTGCACTGAGGCCGAAGCCAGACGCAAATGTGCTCCGTGACACATTTTCCTGTCGTCGCTTATGGCGCGGATCAGAACGATCAGATATACGGGCGTCAACATGGGAAACAGTTCTTTCCTTCCCCAGACAAAGCTGTTTGGTGGGCCACGTCGGTGTGATGGACAGACCTTTGTGCTGAAAGTTCACCTGGAGTCCAGAAAGCTGCGATGCATCATTACTTCGGAAGGCCACGAAACCATCAGTGTGGTCCTCACCTTGTAGAATTTCTGCTTTGGAAAAAGTTTTTGATGTTCGTAGCTGTTTAGATTTTTGGAAAATTGCTCAATTCTGTTGCAAAGAATCCTGCTTTCCGTCGAGAGATGACGAAATGTTCCAAAAGTCGGACATTTTTGTTGAGTAAAAAAAGTTGTGCCAAGATCCCTGCAAGGTGACTTTGCTGCTGCTCAGTCAGTTCATGCGGTACCCACTTGTCCAGCTTTCTTACCTTCCCAAGTACCTTCAGGCGCTCCGAAATTTTCAGTATGCTTGCTCAAGGTTATGCTGCTGGCTGCCGTACACTTGTTTGGAAATCTTCTTCTGCCGGGTCTTCAGAAGGCTGCCGTCAAGAGGGAATGTCGTCCGTAACCCCCTCACTTCGAATCTAGATTTCCCTACTTGAAAGCTTCGGAGCCATTGATGCAGTGTGCATTTATTGCAACATCCTCAGCCCCACACAGCAATCCTATTCCGAGCTGTCCGCACAGCACCTCTCCAAATTTCAACTCATAGAAGTGAACTAGCTCAAATCAATGCTTTGACGTCTTAGATTCAAACTTAAAAAAGCGAGACCCGAGCTCTTAAAAGATGCAGTAGCAGTATAAGAAAGAGAATGGGATGCGGATTACTACAGCATTCAAAAAAATTCCTCCGAAAAATGTCTAGCAAGTATGCCGCATCGAAACCCGCATTACTTTCTGGACAACCTAATACGTCTATTCCTGGCCTGAGGCCGCGAGCAGATTCACCTGTATATTAGGAAAGGTCTCAGAAGTGCTTTTTTGAATATTTGAAGAAATAATGGTTGGTTTTGTGAAATTTTTGTTGATTTCGTTCCTGAAACCGGGAAAAAGAATAATCTAAACAAAAGGCGGACTATCTTTTGATGTTATATAACTTCGGACCACTGGAATTGTTCAAATGCTTTAGGGAGAGAAAACAAATGAATAACTCACCAGCAGCTGAGAGTCGCTAAGACAGTTTTCCGTCGAACGTATCGTCGATAATGAAGCGGATAGCGAATGACTATGAATTCATTCGTTGTAAAAACAAGCAGATTGAAAATTGTCAGCATATTGCAGATGCGAAGCACAACTAGTGCGAACGTGGACGCCTAAATAAGAAAAACCTTTAGACGACACACATTGGTTTTGTGTCCTTGTTCATAAACTTGCAATACTTGCAATGGTGCTGAGCATGACCGTGTT